TAGCTAGAACCAATGTTTTGGTTAAATTAAAAATTGTCTACTATTTTATAAAACGGAAAGAAAAAAAAATTTTTTTTCTTTTAATTTCTAGTTGACTTGATAAAAATAAATAAAAAATATAAAAATAATTATTGGAAAATAAAAAATAAAAAAAATTTTATTTAAAAATAATGTCCTTATTCTCTTAATTAATACACTAAATATAACCCAAAAAAATAAAAAAAAAATCTTCAAAAAAATACCAAAAAAAATACAGTCAATTCCCTTGAGAGAGACAACTGACGTATCTAATTTTTAATTAATTTAAAAAACATTATGGACCCAGAGCACATAACAAACAGATCCAGGAGATTCCTAGTGAATCCGAGGAACCTCCCCTTTTTTTGAAAAAATTTTCAAAAAATTTTTATTTTTTTTCTTCTCAGCCCCCTTAATAATTTTAAAAATTAATAGGTATGTATAAATAGTATATACTAGGCAGGTACTTAATTTAAAATAAATTTAAAAAATAAAATTGTCAATCAATTTGATTGACAAAAAATCTAATGAAATAAAAAATGCAATAAAAAAATAAAAATATCCTTAAAAAACAAGTAAAAAAATTTCTGTTTTTAAAAACGATTCCCTTTACAATCTTAAAATTAAATTTAAAAAATAGGAGAGCTTTCAACACAATAACAAAAAATAAATATATAAATTTACCTAAAGCTGCGCTTCCCCCTTTAGAAAAAAATCTCCAAGAAATTTAAAAAATAAAAATTCCCCCAAAGAACCTTCCCACAGGACCCTCTACACATTTCAATTTAATAAAAAATGCTTCAAAATACTCATCAATGTAACAAAATGCCCAGAAAAACAACTACAACAACAATACCTTTAGGCCGCCCCTCAGTTACATTTTCTGATATTGTTATTATGGAAGACGGTAAGCCTATTAGAAAATTCAAAAAAAATTTTGGGCACGAACCAGAGACGCTTAGAAGTTAAAAAAATTTTTTTGGACTTCTCCTGGTCTTCCTGATCCCTTAGAATCTCCTGACCAAAGACCTTCTCCCTGGCCTAAAATCTGGGTCCCCCAGAAGGTCAAAACCCAGAAGGGCAAGACCCAGCCTAACAAATCCGTCTTAATCCGCCCAAATCCGTGGATATCCTCCTTAATACCCACAAATCAGTCTTAATATGCACAAAATTTGTATTTGACTTTTGGGTAATCTGACCTTAATATTCAGCAAGAAAGATTAAAAAAATTTTTTTCAGATGAAAAATGCCAAAATAGATCCCCTCTAAATGAAAAAACCCCTTTATCAATTGATTTTGAAGAAGAAGAAAATAAAAATAATAAATGTTTGGCACGTTTTTGGAATATTTTTAAGCAAAAAATAAATGGAAATGATAAAATAATAAAAGAAGATAATGGAAAAATAAGAATAAATTTTTTTATTTGGTGCGCGCCAATACCACTAATTGTAAGGGAAAAATTTTTGTATTAAAAAAAAATAAAACTTTTAAAAATCAGTCGGACCTCGGTATAAGAGACTCTCCCCCTTAATGCTAAAAAATCGTCTGTCTTATAATGAGATGTATACTAAATAGAAGGATATTGGAGGTATCTTAACGTGAAGGGTATGGAGTCCTCCCTTCCACCACATCTAGTAGCTAAACGAATTTTAAGAAACGTCTCTTAAATGTGTCCTTTGCATTGCGGGGTGTCTCATATATTGAGTGCTCTATATCGAGGTTCGACTATACACCAGGGGTTGGTCGGAAATGACGGTGTCGGAAATCGGAAATGTCGGAAATCGGAAATGACCCAAAAGTCGGAACTTAGAAATCAACCTAAATTTTCGGAAGTCAAAAATCCGACTGACCCCTGCTGGACACTAAGTCCATAATAATTTAATAATTCATTTACCCCACCTCATTTTTCCAACCAAACAGAAATGTACAAGAATCATTGGATGGCTTTCAATAGCTCCCTTAATTGTTGAAATTTTTCTTCTATTTAAAACAACAAGTTTTTCTACAGCTTCTTTTACAGATTTAATACCTGAATTTTTATTTTTAATTATTCAATTGACAAGTATTTTATCACTATTTTATGGGATTAAACAGAAAGAAGCAAAATATTTAAAACCGTTTCTTTATATTGGGGTAAGTCTGGGGTATATATAAAGGCCTATACAGAGAAAGCTCACTATAGGATACCCCCTTGTGCCTGAAAAATCGTAGCCTACAAAGAGGTATCTTAAATAGAGGAGGCGGCTCCCTAATCGCGGCAGTTCCCTAATCTTGCGACTAAAAATCTAAAAAACGTCACTTAAATAAAGGTGTATCTTATATTGAGGGTCTATTATAAAGAGGTCCAACTATATACAATCACGCCTCATTATAACACACCTCCACTTAAGAGACATTTTTTAAAAATTTTGGCTAGTCGTTGGTTAAGGGTAGCTGCCTAAACTATACCCTCTATTTAAAGCACACTTCAGTATAAGAGACCATTTTTTAACCCCAAAGGGATCATATGAGGCCCTACAATTAGAACTTTTTATAAAAATTCCCTCACAATTTTAAGGTCCTTTGGAATCTTGCCCTTTGTTTACTATTTATTTTTTGTATAATTGAATTAATTGTTGCTGGAGAGCATTTTTGTAAACAAGTCGAATTAAGTTTAAATGAGTTTTTGGAGAGTATTGTAGTTAGTGGAGAAGGGGCAGAAGAAATTGAAGAGCCTATATTTTTTAATGAATTTGCATCGTATTCAACTTCAGAATCTAAAGTTTAAAAATTCTTTCCCTTAGTCAAATTCAAAAAAAAATTTTTTTAGAATTTAAATTTGGCAATTCAATTGTATGGGGAAGACCAAACAAGAAGTAATGAAGATGATATCAAACCAATAGGTAGAGAGGGTGGGAGGTTAAGACTGGGCTGAAAGTTAAATCGGAAAGATTTGAAGATAGGGGAGATCAATATCTCTCTCAAAAAATCACAATTTCGACTTGGACCAATCCAGAGAAGGGCGAAATTTCGTTTCGTTTTTGTCAGGTACGAGGGTTTATAACTTAAACACACACACATTCAACTCTCAAAAATTTTTTCCTAATTAAAAAAAATTTTCTTTCTTGACAGAATATCCAATAAACCCAACAAATTCACCCAACATATGGCCTGCTTTAATACTCATTTCTTCATTATTCATTGCCATACTAATAGATTGTTGGCTACTTAATATTGTTTTAATCACTTATTTTTATTTAAATAGAAGAGACAATACTTAAAATGAGAGGAAAAAGAAAGAAATTAAAATACAGTAAAACCTCTTTATAAGACACCCCCAACATAAGATAACCCTCTATCTAAGAGACGCTCTTAAATTGATTGGCCATTAGGTGGGAGAAGCTCCCTAAAGAACACCCTCCATTTAAGATACACCTCACTATAGGGTACTCCCATTACAAGATAACCTCTCTGTAAGATACCTCCAATAATGGGCACACCTCTATTTAAGAGAACTTAATAAAAGTTGGTTAGGTGTTGGTTGGAAAGAGCTGCTCAAGCGATGCCTTCGATTTAAGATACCCCTCATTATAAGGTACGATTTTCTCAACTTCAAAGGGGGTTCTTATAGCGAGGTCTTACTGTACTTTTAACACAGAAGAATTGTTAACTTTAATAAAAAAATAAAGGATAGAATACAAAAATATAGTTTTTCTCAATATAAACCAGTCTCATCATAATATTTTAAATGCTGAGGAATTTCAGTCACAATTTTTGGTTTAGCTAAAAGCGCATCAGGAATTTTAGACACAACAAAATTCAATACATTTTTAATTCTCCAAGCATCTTAATTAAACAAAAATATTTAATTTAAGCCCTATGACACAGCCCAAAATCAATTTCAGTCCAAATTTAATTTGCCTGCCAAATTCCATTTAAATTATCCAAAAATCCATCTCTTTGGTCCGGGATCAACCCAGAAGGTCAAATCCTAGTATTGAGAGACAAAGAAGGATTAGTACAGATATAGACGGATTAAGAGGATATCGATAAATAAGGATGGATTTGTTAGATTAATGGATCATGAGACAGGAATGATCCCAAAGGCCAACGTATTCCTGATCTTGAGTCCCCTTTATAAGCCTAGATATCTGGAGTTGACATTCTGGGTCATTTGGGCTCATGGTTTTTGACCTTCTGGCTTTGAGCTTTTAGGACATCTGTCCTGGGTAATTTGACCTTTCTGGGGTGGTCCTCTTTGAATTTGGACTGAAATTAAATTTGGAAATCACTGCCTGACATACATTCATTTCCTTCATTTAATTTTTCCTTGATTCTTTCACTTGTTTCACTTTGATTTTTTACCAGAACCTCCCCATATTTTTCTTCCTCAAACAATTTAATTGTATTTTCAATTCTCTTGTCCAAAATCTTTTTTTCCAATTCCAAATTTTCTGATGAACTTTTCTCCCCTTCAATATCCTCATTTTTATTTAAAATTAACTCTTCTTCATTTTTATTTAAAGCTAACAATATTGGACTAATTTTCCAACAAGCATCACGCATCTTATACCACAAACCAGATTTTGGGGTTAAAACTATTGGCTTAGCTTTGGCAAACTTAAAAAATATTATGGTCGAAAACCTAAATATAAGACACCCCCTATAGGGTTAAAAGTTCGTACCTTATAATGAGATGTATATTAAATCGAGGGTATCTAACGGGGTATCACCCAACTCGTCGATCAACAAATTTTAAAGGGTCGTCCCTTAAATAGAAGTGTATTTTATATTGGGGGTATCTTATAATAAGGGGTCCGATTATATACAATCAACCCTCACTATAAGATACACCTCTATTTAAGAGACGATTTTTAAACTAGGTTCCTTACTGAGTGGAGGGAACTGGCAAGCAATGCCTTCTATCTAAGATACAATTCATTATAAGAGACAAATTTTTCAGCTTAAAGGGGTCTCTTATAATGGGGGTTACTACAATCTTAACTTCAAATTACCTCAATAATTTTTTCAAAATTTTTAATTAAATTTTCCCCACTCTTTAAACGTTCACCAACAAACAGAGCAAAAGCTAATTCCCCTCCCAACAAAATTAAATCTTCCTTCTCAACGGCTTCTGCTTCAAAAATTAATTTAGCCACCATTTTAGCATTCTCAATTTCAAATTTAGTCAAAATTAGACTTTCACCTTCACTCAAATTTTTATTTAAAATCTCATCATTGTTCATCCTTTCATGCATATTTTTAATTAACAAATTTTCAAACAAAATTTTCTTTCCTCCCAAAAATTTTTTTTCCTTTCCTCCTTCCCCCATAATAATTTTTCCCCCTTCAATTACCCCAATTTTTGCTGCCAAATTTAAATTTTTAAGATTTTTATTGGTTTTAAAATTATTTTTTTTATTATTAAAAATAATTTTTTTATTTTTATTTATCCCCCCTTCTCCCTCAAAATTATTTTTAAAATTATTATTAATTGAAAGCAGATGGGGAATATTTAAAGAAGTTGAACATGAAGAATAAAGGAATATTTCAGAAATTAAATAAAAAATAATTGGAAATATCATGTCTTTTGCTTAAAAAAATATTTTTGACCCTCGATTGTACGTACACCTTATGGACGGAAAAGTTGAAGACCAAGACTTCACCCCAAAACCAGGACCAACAAATTTTGGACAGCTCTGTGGGTAGGAGTGAGTTGCCTAAGGGGTACCCACATTTTTATCTCAATCCTATTTACAGCCTTTAGAGGAGGAAAAAGGTACGCAAAATTGAGGTATTGTCATGTCCTTGACTGCGGTATGCCCGAGGAATAACAGAATAAAGCCCAATATGTGGAGCACAAGAATAAGACTGACTGAATAGATAAGAACACGGACGGCGAAAGCCTCAGTCTTTTGTAAGCACATACCCAACAGGTGTATGTAAAGTGGAGGGTGAATCCAAAAACAGGTGGATTCAAAACCGAGGTGGATCCAAAAACAGAGGTATCGCTCATGCAGTCGTAAAACTAAGTTGTATATAAGTGAGGGTATCGCATAGACATCTGTAAAACCGAGGTGTATGTAAAGGTGTATTTCCTCCTAGAAATCCGCAAAATTGAGAGGCATCCCCTCACCCCTCTAGGCATCCCCTCACCTTTTCGTAACCAAAACAACCCCAAAAAAGTGCACGTACAATAGAATAGTAAATTAGGGGTTAAAATATTCAACGAATTATTAATTAAATTATTCAATGAAATGAGGAAGGCAAATGATGAATAACAAAATAATAACCCTCTTTAAAAAGACCAGACATGCACTCTAGCGATTAAGTAAATATTACATAACATGCACTTTTAAATATTAAAAAAATACAAAGTTTCATAATTGCCGACAAAGCTTAATTTCATAATTTAAAATTGAATAAATGCACTTTAATATTTTGTATTTTATAATACTTGTATGTTATGATTAAAAGGAAAAAATAAATAAAGCCGGCCCTCTATTTTTCTATATTCCCCAAAAATTTTCTATAATTGCACTAAAAGGACGGGTTGCACCAGGCCATGGTGGTCAGCCAATCCAACACAAACACCCCCCCCCTCAAAGAAAAAAAGTGATTACCCAAAACTTGACAGGCTAAACCGGACCAGAGATGAGAGCCTTTGATAAAAGATGGTTACTATATTTAGTTTACAACAACAAACATCCCAACCCTCTCCTTTAACCTATATCTAAATCACCATCCACATACCTTCACTGTTAACAATTATAGTTGCGAGGCCGCTAGGTGATCCCCCAATACATCAACCTCACCTTAATCTATATCAAAGTCACCACCCATACTCCTCTTATCAATTCTCGATTTGCTTTAAAATTTCACAGAAAATGCTTTATACAAGTTTGAATAACAATAATATGCTAACATAGCATCAAAAAGTTTCTTGCTTACAAATCACAATGAAAAAAGTTCAAAAAATCTTAGATATACACAATACCTTCCATCTCTTTTTAAAATACCCCCCATTCCCACTTTCTTTCTTCCCCGCTTCTTTCTTCCCATTCTTTTTTACAAAACACCTTCAACATCAATAATATCCTTCTCAATACAGCCCTGTATGGTCATCATAATGCTTATACTTCATATAAGATGATGGAGCACTTTTAGTACGTCTTAAATTCGCGACAACTTAAATTTATATTTTTTTTAATTTTCAAAAATTTCCAAACAAAACTAACAAATTATAGCTCCATGTTTTGCCAACATAGCCTTATGGAAAAACGTGGATTTTTGGCCTTATTGCCAATACAACCTTATTGTCAGAATATCGGAGACTCGCAAATAATTATAGAGCGGATTTATATTGAAATAAGGCACAGAAACAACCCCCTAGCCGTGGATCATCCTTAGCTGAAAAGTGACTAACAGCCGAGTTCAAGCAGGTCAGTTCGCGGGCAGAGTCGCTTTAGTGATTTAAATATAAATCCGAGCCCCACAAAATTATACCTTTAAATCCTTCCTCCAACGTCTCCTTAATTTTCTTAACCTCTACATCATCTTTCAGCTTATCAAACAAAACATGATAACTATCAGTATGTAACACAGCTTTTGTTTTACGAAGTAAATCTTTATCCACTATATCTATCAAACTGTTTTTATCCTTAACCAAACTTTCAGCTAACCACCAAGCAAAACTTAATTGACCTCCTAAATTTGTCACAAATTTAATTTGATCTTCAGAATTTTCATTTTCCTTTTTGTTAATCATTTTGGATTTGAATAATAATTTTACAACTGATTTTACATATGGAAGCAATAGTAGTTAAACCGGCGTATGTGTCGCCTGTCAAAAATCACTCAAGTTAATCAATCAAAAGGTGTGAAGCCATTTCCCTCCCGGCCCTTTCCCCACCAAAAGGTTTTGAGACTCTTCTTCCCCACCCACCCCTCTCTAATAAAAGGTACCCAGCCCAAACTTAAAGCTTTTGAAGCTTTCCCTTCCTTTCCCTCACCCACCCCCCCCCCCAACCAAAAGCTATTGAAGCTTTTCCTTTCTTCTTCCCCCACACTCCCACTAACCAAAACCTCTTCAAACCTAAACCTATAGGGCTCTTTCTTTTGTCCATCCAAAGCTTTTGGGACTTCCCTTCTTTTATTATTAAATATTATTTCCCTTTTTTGTTTTCGCGCTATTGAGCCCTTTTCTTTACCGACAAAAATACTTGCCTTTTCTTTAAATAAATCCTATTGAGACATTTACTCTCAAAATGCAAATTTTACTTTTTGCCTCCAATTTTTCCCATAAATCTAATCCTTTTATTTTTCTCTTTTATTTTTCGCTTTTCACCGACAACATAGTTGTCTGATACTCTTTCCTTTTTCATTTCATTCTATGCCTATTTTTTATATAATAGGCAAATTCTATTATTTTTTGTATATTTTTTTATAATTTTTAAATTTATTTTTAAATAATTCTAATTATTTATATTTAATTGATTAAAAGGCCGGGTTGATAAAAAAATCGGGTTTCGGGTCGGGTCTTCAAATTTTGAAAAATTTTTAATTATTTATTTTAATTTTCAATTAATTGTATTGTTTGGATGGATATGGAGTGTAGGGATTTTTGGAGAGATAAAGGAGAGTTTGAAGTATTCCTTTTAATAAATTATAGGGTAGGGTTTCAGGTCAAAAAAGTAAAAAATTTTTTATTGTTTTATCATTTTATTTTAATGATTTATTAACAGAGATGGGTCGGGTTGAGAAAAAAGTTATTTTCTTCGGGGTTAAAAAAATACTGAAAAAGTAGTAAGGTCGGGTTTCGATTCGAGGAAAAGTTGTTTTTGGTTCAGGTTGAAAGAATACTTTTAATTATTAGGGGTGGGTTTTGAGCTGAGTAGTGTAGTTCTTGAGAAGCGAGGTCGAGGTTTTAATAAAACCGAGACTACAAATTTAACTTTTAAAAATTTTATAATTTTTCATTCACTAAATCATTAACAAATTTAGTAGTTAGTCACCTGCAGTAGTTAGTCGTACAGTACATGAGCATTTGTGGGTGCACTCAAAAAGTGGTGCCTTCTTAACCACCTCAGGCAAAAATTTCGAAGCTAATATTCCAGATTTCCATTTTCACCGCACAAAAACTTTTGTGTACAACTCTACATTAAATTAAATCTATTAATTTAATGTACATCTCACTTTAGTGTACACCCCATCACATTTTTTATATTTTACATCTGGGGGCATATCTATAGTATATCATTTTGGGGAGTTGCACATTTGACCGAAATGTATTTTGGTGAAATGTATTTGTCAATTTGATTCCTCGTTTATCTGGGGTATAAAAAGGGACGATTTATTGAAAAATCTCATTATTGAAAATGCCCGATATAAAATTCCCAAAAATATTACCTGAAGTTGAGTTTAACATCTCAGCTACAGGGATTACAATTTCCAGTGTCCGCTATACAAATCCCCGTTTTCTTCCTTACGACCAAGGAGGGAAATGTCGTAAGTGCAAGAGCACTGAAGTCGAATTGGATTTTATTATTGTAAAGGAAGGGGTGGTAGTCTATTGCACCCGCTTTGAAGGAAGTCGATTTGTTCCTTTCGATTCATTATACGATCTACCAGGTCATTGTTTCTTCAAAGTAAAGAACAAAGGCCGAGTCTTTAATGTACCGTACAACGATACTACTCACATTCCTTGCCCCAAAACTGAACCAACTGAACCCCAAATTCTCCCCGCAATACCCGAAGAAGTGGCACAGATACCTCAACCCTTGGATAACCTTCCAACAATGGATGAGTTGGATGATTTCTTCCAGAGTTTAGACGCATCAGTGACAGGCATTCCAACCGATTAAAATGATATTTAAGTGAAAATTTCGTATATCCATAAATATTCATTATGAATTCATTATCTTTCTCGGATAAAGATTTAAAATTTAAATTACCTTTTGGGATGATTATATCTGGTCCTAGTTCAAGTGGAAAGAGTACACTCTTATTGAGACTTATTGCAGAATTCAAAGAGTTAATCCACCCTAAGCCAAAGTCTATACTTTACTGCTTTGGGGAAATGAACAATATTGTACCACTTTTACAAAAATCTGGAGTTGATGTGTTTTCTGGAGTTCCACCTGAAGACCTAATTAAAAAATACCCTAAACCTCTTTTACTAATTCTCGATGATTTGAATCTTTCTATTGATGAAAAATATCTATCTGAATTGTTTACCAAAAAATCTCACCATCAAAATTTTTCTATAATTTTTGTTACACAAAATTTATTCGATAAGAAAATCAAAGTAGCACGACAAAATTCTCAGTACCTCATGTTAATGAGGGCACCCAATTCAATGCTTTCCATCAGAAACATAGGGGTGCACCTATTTCCAAAACAGTTGGACTATTTTCTAGACTCATATCGGCAGGCAACCAAGCAACCATATGGTTACTTACTCATTGATATGCATGCTTCCTCAGATCCTACCCTACGTCTTAGGACCAACATATTTAAGGAAGATGATGAAAAGATAATTTTCTTTCCAAAAAATGGTTAATCAATTAATTTCTGAAAACTTAAA